TATTATTTTGATATTTTTTCGAAGTAGATAGATCTTATCTTCCTTCTATAGAATTGATTTCTCAATTCTTTTAGAGTTTGTATACTGCATTATTCATTCTTGAACGAATTATAATTCTGATCGGAGTTTCTTCTGAACTTTCTTAATTTTCTTAATCCTTTTATCTGCAGCTTCTGCATCTGCTTCTAGCAATACTTCGTAGTAAGCTATTGAGTTGTATTTATAGAATATGAAGAATAGTAATTTCTTTATTGTGCTTGTATCTATGCTATTATAAGCGAATTGTATAAGAAGTAATAGATTAATCTAGTTATTCTATTTCTGATTAATATAGTATTGTAGATATTATTTAATAATCTAATTCATTCTTTCTATCTATTTATCTATTTGTAAGTAAAATGCTATAAATATTCTGTAATATATTCTAAGCTGTTTTATAAGCAAAGTTCAAAACTTTGAGTTGAATTTTCTATTTCTATTAGAGATTACTTCTTCTAGCATACTATAATTAGCGATAATCATTCTGAGAAATGTATATGCAAGTTTCTCTGCTATACTGCTTTCCTTATAAGAAAGAAAATAAGCATACTTGCTCAGTTTGCAAACTATTACTAGAATGCTATTATATTGCACTTTAGTTAAGAATTCTCATAAGAGAGATAGCTTAATAATGAAGTTTAGACTAATAGATTGCTAAATAATTATAAATACTAGTAAGGAATGCAGTAGTTCATAAAGCTTGTATTTTTCTGCTTTATTCTTCTTGCAGCTATTGCATTGTTGTAGGATATTCTCAATTCTTTTCCTAAGGCCTAATGAGTTCCAGTATTTTTTAAAGCATTCGTAGATTGCTCTAACTTTCTGATACCTATGTACTGGTGCACTGTATATATCTCTGATGTAGTTATTTTGTTCATCTGAAGTTATTGATTCTGGATTCTTCTTCAAGAATTCAATTCTGAAGGCAGCATTCAATTCTCTATATGTATTAATAAGATTTTCTAACTTATCTTGAGCAAAGATGTTCTGTATATCCGAGGAATCTGCATCTCGATAGTCTGATCTTCTGCTAAGAGCATCTGCTCATCTATTCTTCGAGCTTTTGCAGTATATAATCTTGAAGTCGAACTGTAAAAGGAATTCTGCTTATCTAACTTGTTGTTTATTCAAAATCTTAATTATTATAAACATAGTTAGATTTTTATAATCTGAGTGAACTATAATCAAGTATTATGCATTAATGAGATAGTATTACTATTTCTCAAAAGCTTTTACTATTGCTATAAGCTTCTGATTAGAGATTCCGTAATTGATTTCTGAGTTATTTAACTTCTTCGAGAAGTTGCTTATAATTCTTAAACATTCTTAGTTATCTTGCTAGCTAAGTTGTTCTCCAAGTGCATATTCCGATGCATCAGTTTCAACTTCGAAGGGTTTGTAGAGATCTGCTTTATACAGAACTAGCTCTGAGATAATATACTTGATAATCTTATCAAAGGCTTCTTATGCCTCGGAGATTTATTCAAAGAGTTGCTCCTTTTTAATGAGATTTGTAAGGGAATGTGCAATCCGGCTGTAGTTCCTAATGAACTGCCTGTAGAAGTTGATGTATTCAAGGAAAGATCTAATATCTCTGATATTCCTGGGAACTAGCTAATTTCTAATAGCTTCTATCTTATTTTTCTGTAGCTTAATACATCCTAGCTTGATTGTAAATCCGAGATAATCAATCTTTTGTATATGAAAGTAATTCTTTACAGATTCTATAAGAAGTTTTGCATCTTGGAGCATTTGCAATACTATTTCCATATATTTCTTGTATTCTTCCAATATTCGAGAGTAAATAAGAATATTGTTAAGATAGGCAATGATGAACTGATTTAGGTATTTATACAGAATATGATTGATTATTTTTTGGAACGAAGCTAGAGCATTTATTAGATTAAAAAGCATAATTAAATACTCGTAATATCTATAGCATATTCTGAAAGCAGTTTTCTATTCTTCTTCTTTCTTTACTCTAATCAGATTATAAGCTTCTTTCAGATTCAGAACTATGAATTACTATGCTTCTTACAATCTATCTTGTAATTCCTTGATGAATAGCAACGGATATTGGTTCTTAATTATAATATTATTGAATTGCTTATAATCAATATATAGTCTGAGTTTGCTGTTCTTTTTAGGTATAAACAGAATAGGATATTCTGCTGATGATTATAATAATTATATATATTCTTTCTTAAGATTCTCATCAAGATACTCCCTAAGTATTTCTAGCTATATCTGATTCAATCCGTAGATGAGGAAGAATTTGAGCTGTTTTTCTTCTTGCAGCAGAATCTTGTAATTGTATGAGCTGTATTCTAGCAATTCTGTATTCAATTCTTTCTGGAATAGTTTCTTGAACTTATAATATTCTCGTAATATGTTCGCAAGTATTAGTTCTGATCCTTATGCTGTTTCTGCTATCTGAAGGAATAGTAGATACTGTTGAATATGCTTCTTTTCATTCATTGTTTTTAAGAGCCTTGAGTATCTGCTCCGGGCTGGAGCGAGCGCTTGAGGGCCTGATTTCGAGATTTTTCCTGTATGAGTTCATAATCCACATTCTGAAGCTTTTCCTTGTTGCTCCAGAGCAGACTAACTTGCTGAGGATCTTGCTTCTGTTATTTTGCTAACTTGTTAGCGCTCTGGCATTATTTGGGTTCGTTTGTTACTAAATCCTTCTCCTTGAACTGCTAGCCCTGCTGACTTGAAGGTATGTATGAAGTTGTGTAAAGCTTCTTTTTCTGAGTATTCTTCAACTACTAGCTTTAATCCTGCGCTATTGATTATAACTATTTCTCTGAATATAGCTTGTTCTCATAAGAGCTAGCTAGTAGTTCAATTGATTCGAGGATTATGCTCTTTAAGCTATAAAAGCTCTATAATCAGCTTATGCTGTGCTATATCCGTGATATCAAAGAAAGCTCTGATTATGCATTCTTAGATTAAAATAAATAAATAATTAGTCTTCTTATTGATTACTTCTTGATTATATGCAATAGATTATTCTTCTACAGTGCTGAGAATGTATAAGCATTTCTTCTATCTCCATTGTAGTTGTACCTGATTGATGATATGTAGGGATATGAAGTTTCTCTGAGCGCTACTATTCAATAGTATACTGTATTTGTGTTCTTGAATGTATATATCAAACTTGATATAAGTATAATCTATTCTGAAAGCTTTATATAAAGACTGTTCTAATCTGATTATCTGCAATCTCTTTATAAGCAATTCTGTTCTTTTGGATTCGTTAAGAACTGCTTATTCTTCTAAGCCTGCTTTGCTGCTTTTTGAGCAAGCTTCTTAGCTTGCTTTTGCTCATATTATTATTATTTCTAGTCTTTCTTCTATTAATACTAGTTGCAAATCTTATTATTAATATAAATTGTACAGAGTATTGTTTTATACTGCTACCATTTTATCTTCTTATTTACACATTGCCTGGAGCAATTATCTAGTAGTTCAATGTATATATTGTAATACTATTTATTAAGAACCTTTCTGAAGCGGAGTTCCTATTCTTTAATAGCCTGAAGGATTTGTTCTGATTCTTTAATGGGAAATTATTCGTATTGCATCTTATCCGAGAAATACGTTCTGCAGCTATGATAGATACAAGAGATCCAAGCTAGTTCGTAATGTAGGTTGTAAAGTAGGCTGATTCGAGGATTCTCATCTTCTTATATCTTGATGTTCTGCAAGAGAATGCAGATGAAGAGCTCTTTTAGCTCTATTCTGTAGATGAGATATTCGACTCATGTTGTTTCCTTATTCCATCCAATGCTGAAAGGAAATCTTCCTTTAAGCTTGTTGGGCCTGTTGTTTGCAAGAAGCTTCTGCAAGCTGCTAGGTTGTTTGCTCTAGCTTGATCTTTCTGTTGCTTAAGAAGCGTTCTCTATGTTGCTTAAGTATTCATACCAGTAGCCAAGAGGGTATTATCCCTTATTCATGTTTCTAGTTATGGTATCTGGTGCAGATGATGAGGAATAGCGAAGAGCATTATTGTTAAGCTCTTTCTTCAGCATCTGAATGCTTCATTCAGTGATATCAGAGCAGTTCGAGTTGTTGCTGCTTGTATTCGTGCTGGGCGTATATCCTTGCTCTGCTGTTGCTATCTGTCTATAGCGCTTAGGTTTCTGAGGGAACTATTCTGAATCTTTTTTACTCGAGAGATGTATTAAGCAGTTATTATTATAGCAGAATATCTAGCTAAGATTTCCATAATCAATAGAATCCGATACTTGCTCTAAGGAAATGTTTTTGCTCAGTTGATTGGATTTCTGTTATCAAGCGATATTTATCTAGCATTCTTTCTGAATTAGTTGCTATTTATTCTTCCGAGATTAATAGCAGTTGCATATAATATATTCTTATTTGTTGCAGTTGTAGCAAGTAATGCTGTTCTTCTTGCTATACTGCTTATTAGCAGCATTAAGTTCTATAGAATTAGCATGCATAGTACTGCTCTGAGCTGTACTGCTATATTAACTGCTATTCTTGTTTTGGAGTTTCTTATCTGTATTAGCTGGAAATCTTCAAGTCTGGCTTTCTTTCTTCTTGGATTTCTCTATTCATTGTTTATACAGATAGTTATTAATATAGATAGCTTAATTAGAGAATATTGCGAAATTCTCTAGCTAATCCTGCTTAAAGATTTCATCTTTAATATCATTCTTAAGTTTCTTATAATAATGCTTTATAAGATTCTTATTTTTCTATAGAAATTGCGCTAAGAATTGCTTAAATCTGATTATATAAGCAGAAGCTAACTTAATCTATCTAAGGTTTATAAGCTGCTAAGCTATAATGCATTCTTCGTTAGAATTACTAAAGATTTCTTTGAGAGCTTTCTCGAAGCTCTTAAAGAAATCGAATATATTCTTAGTACTCTGGATATGTATATTGGGATTGTTCTAATGCTCCAAGTGATTGCATAAAGAAAGCTTGTACTAAATGAGAATATCCTTTTCGAAATAAGTTCCTGCAAGAATAACTTTCTCGGATTCTATAATGAACTGGATTGCATAGTGCAAGAAATATGCTCTATAGTAAGTAAGAAACTTATGTAGCATCTTCTGATTGCTGTTATATATAGCGGGCTTGTTCATCTTATATGCCTTTCCAGTACTACTGATAACTGCAGAGATGAACTGTGTTTGCTGAGCTTGTTGAGCTAGCTAAGCCTGCTAGTTAGCGATAGTAGCGCTCTAAGCCTGCTGTTATTCGCGCAGATTCTGAATATGCTGGATGAGCTAGTATATCTGATTGATCAGTTCTTCCTAAGTGGGGGCATGCAAGAACGAAGAGGTTTCTGGAGAAGCTATTGTATTCTGTATTGCTCAAGGGATAATACTGAACCGTTCTTAAACAAGAGTTATCAAAATGTAATGAGCACTGCAGCAATTCAAAGATTCTTAAATATATGAAGAGTTTATGCTAATAAGAGCGATATTAAAGTATTAAGTTTTTGAATACGGAATTATACAAGTTTTAATAAGCGATGCAAGTATTTATTGCTTTTGGAGCTACTTAGTATATGAAACTGAATACTTAGATTGATAACTGAAGAGCTATATACTGAATCTATTTAATGGAAATGAATGTGTTCTTATATATTCAGCTCTTCAGTATAGCTTGTTGGGATCGCTAGCGAGCTTAGCGATCCAAGGTGTGAAGCTTGTTGGAATCGCTAGCAAGCCTAACGATCCTCCCTTCTTTACAACCCTAACCCTGAGTTATGTAATCAATGCTTTGTAAGAATGTTGGGTTCTTGATATCTGATTCTTGTTACTCGTGACTTGTTTTCGTGACTTGCATGTTGGATGAGTCATAACAATATACTAGCTTATTCAGTATATTCAGAACTTGTATGAATAATAATAAGCTTAGAGCACTATTATTGCTAATTAATAAGTTTAGCTAGCTTAATAAGCTTAACAAGCGCAGTTTATTTCTGCAACTATTAATAGCGCTGAAAAAGCATATAAAATAAATAAATCCGCTATATATAATGATAATCAGAAGATGCTACATGAATTTCTTACTTATTGCAGAGCATACTTCTTATATCATATAACTCAGTTTATTATGGAATCTGAGAAAGTTATTCTAGCAGAAACTTGTTTTGAAAAGAATACTCTTATCTAATACAAATCTTCTCTGCATAACTACTTAGAGCATCAGAATAATCTCAGCATGCATACCTAGAATACTAAGAATATATTCAATTCTTTTGAAAGCTTTGAGAAAGCTTTTAAGAAAATCTTTAGTAATTCCAATAAAGAATATACTATAGCTTAGCAGCTTATAAATCTTAAGCAGATCAAGTTAGCTTCTGCTTATATAGTTAGATTCAAGTAGCTCTTAGTAAGATTTCTGTAAAAAGATAAGAATCTCATGAAATACTATTATAAAGAGCTTAAGAATAATATTAAGAATAAGATTTTCAAGCAGAATTAGCTAGAAAACTTTGTAATATTCTCTAATCAAGCAATTCATATTAATAACTATTTATATAAGCAATGAATAAAGAAGTTTAAAAAGAGAGAAAGCTAGACTTAGAGATTTTTAGCTAATATAAGCAAGAAATTTCAATATAAGAATAGCAAATAATAGAGCAGTATAGCTTAGAGCAGCACTATACATATTAATTCTATAGAACTTGATGCTGCTAATAAATAATATAGTAAGAGGAATAATATTATTTGCTATAATTGTAATAAACAAGAATATATTGTATACAACTGCTATTAATTCTGAAAGAATAAATAGCAACTAATTTAGAAAGAATGCTAGATAAATATTGCTTAATAATAAGAATTTAATTAACTAAGCAAAAACACTCTTTCAGAGTAAGTATTGAATTCTATTGATTATAGAAGTCTCAGCTAAATATTCTGCTATAATAATAACTGCTTAATATATCTCTTGAGTAAGAAAGATTCAGAATGGTTTCTTTAGAAACCTAGATGCTGCAGATAAATAGCAATAGCAGAATGAGAGTGCATGCTTAGTATTCCTATAAGTAGCAACTCGGATTGCTCTGATATTATGAAATAGAATATTCAAGCATTAGAAGAAGAGCTTAGTAATAATACTCTTTAATATTCTTTATTGTTTATACTAAGTATTATGATTAAAGATATGAATAAGAAATAGTATTCTTTTAGCTATTAGTATGAATATCTAAGTAATATAGAGAATACTTTTCAGATAATAAAAGGATTAAGCTAAAGCAAATAGCTTAGCAGCTTGCAGAAGCTTTCCGTGAATAATATGCTTAATAAGCTTAAAGAAAGATTTCTTTTCAGCATTGAATGAAATAAGGAAATAATATAAGTTGAATATCTTATTTACAGAATAGAGCTAGAAAAGCTCTTTATCTGCATTTCCTTGCAGAATATTGAAATATAAGAAGATAAGAATTCTTGGATTAGCTTACTTTATAACTTATACTACAAACTAGCATGGATCTTCTATATTTATTATAGCTGCAGAATGCATTTTTCGGAGAAGATGCAATATGAATAGTTTTCTATTAGGAAATCAGAACAAATTCTTCAAGCTGTTAAAGAATCAGAACTTCGCTTTAGAGAAGTTCTTAATAGATAGCATTATAATGTATATATCAAGCTACTAAATAATTATTCTATGCAATATATAAATAAGAAGATAAAATGATAGCAGTATGAAATAATACTCTGTATAATTTATATTAGCAATAAGATTTGCAACTAATATTAATAGAAGAAAAATCAGAAATAATAATGATATAAGCAAAAGCAAGCTAAGAAGCTTGCTCAAGAAGCAGCAAAGCAAGCTCAGAAGAATAAGCAGTTCTTAACAGATTCAAAAGAATAGGATTGCTTATAAAGAAACTGCAAACGATTAGATTAGAATAGTTTCTATATAAAGCTTTCAAAACAAACTATGCTTATATTAAGTTCGATATATATATTCAAGAATACAAGTATAGCATACTATTGAACAGTAGTGCTCAGGGAAACTTTATATTCCTATATATCATTAATCAAGCATAACTATAATAGAGATAGAAGAGATGCTTATATATTCTTAGCATTATAGAAGAATAATCTGTTGCATATAACTAAGGAATAATTAATAAGGAAACTGATTATTTATCTATCTTAATTCAAGAATATATAATCAGAGCTTTCTTTAATATTATGAATACAGCACAATATAAGCTAATTATGAGATTTTCATAGCTTAAAGAGCATAATCCTCGAATCAATTGAATTACTAGCTAGATCTCATAAGAACAAGCTGTATCCAGAGAAATAATCGCAATTAATAGCGCAGGATTGAAGCTAGTTATTGAAGAATATTCGGAAAAAGAAGCTTCAGATAACTTTATATACATCTTTAAATTAGCAGAGCTAGCAGTTCAAGGAGAAGAACTTAGTAATAAGCGAATTCAAATAGTGCTAAAGCGCTAACAGATTAGCAAAATAACGGAAGCGAGATTCTTAGCAGATTAGTTCGCTTCGAAGCAATAAGGAAAAGCTTCAGAATGTGAATTGTAGATTCATACAGAAAAAACCTTGAAACTAGGCTTTCAAGCGGTTAGTTCAGCTCGGAATGAATGCTCAAAGCTTATGAAGATAACAAACGAAAAGAAGCATGCTCAACAATACCTACTATTTCTTCAGATAGCAGAAATAGTATAAGAATCAGAACTAATACTTGCAAGCATATCATGAGAATATTATAAATTCAAGAAATTATTTCAGAAAGAATTGAATACAGAATTATTAGAATACAGCTCATATAACTACAAGATCCCGCTATGAAAGAGAAAACAGCTCAAATTCTTCTCTATCTATAAATTAAACAAGGCATAATTAGAAGCACTTAGGGAGTACTTTGATGAAAATCTCAAAAAGGAATATATATGATCATTGCAATTACTAGCAGAATATTTTATTCTGTTTGTATCTAAGAAAAACAGCAAGCTTAGGCTATACATTGATTATAAGCAATTCAATGATATTACAATTAAGAACTAATACTTGTTGCTACTTATTAAAGAATTACGAGATAGGCTGCAAGAAGTATAATAGTTTATAGCTTTAAATCTAAAAGAAGCTTACAATCTAATTAGAGTAAAGAAAGAAGAAGAATGAAAAACTGCTTTTAGAATATATTACAAATACTACGAATATTTGGTTATACTCTTCAGTTTAACAAATGCTCTAGCTTTATTTCAAGAAATGATTAATTATATTCTATGTAAGTACTTAAATCAATTCATTATTGCTTATCTTAATAATATTCTTATTTACTCTCGAATACTGGAAGAATATAAGAAGTATATGAAAACAGTATTGCAAATACTTTAAGATGCAAAACTTCTTATAAAATCTGCAAAGAGTTACTTTTACATATAAAAGATTGATTATCTCGGATTTATAATCAAGCTAGAATGTATCAAGCTATAGAAAGATAAGATAAAAGCTGTTAGGAATTAGCTAGTTCCCAAGAATATTAGGAATATTAAGTCTTTTCTTAGATATATTAACTTCTATAAGCAGTTCATCAAAAACTATAGCTGGATTGCATATTCTCTTACAAATCTTACTAAAAAGAATGTTATGACTCATCCTACATGCAGGTCACGAAAACAGATCACAGGCAAATAAGAACTAGGTATCATGACTCAACATCAGACAACTCACAAGGATTACATAACCCAGAGCTAGGGTTACAGGCCAACCAATCAGAAGAGCTTACCTGTGCTTACCGAGCTTTAGTGAGCACCACTGAGCAGCAGTAAGCTTCAGTAAGCATCAGCAAGCTACACTGAAGAGCTGAATATATATAACCACACATTCATTACTATTAAACAGATCATCATACACAGCTCTTTAGTTATTAATCTAAGTATCAGATTACTCTCTATTCTAATAGCTCCAAAAGCAGTAAATACTTGTATTGCTTATTAAGACTTGTACAGTTCCATATTCAAAGACTTAATACTTTGATACCACTCTTGTTAGTATAAACCTCTTTGTATACTTTGAAATCTTCAGATTGCTACAATACTCATTACATTTTGATAACTCTTATTCAAGAACGGTTTAGTATTATCTTTTAAGCAATACAGAATACAATAGCTCTTTCAGAAACTCCTTCGTTCTCATATGCTCCTACTCAGAAAGAACTAATTAATCAGATATATCAGCTTATTCAGCATATTCAGAATCTGTATGAATAACAGCAGACTCAGAGCGCTACTATTACTAACTAATAAGCTTAGCTAGCTTAATAAGCTCAGCAGATGCAGTCTATCTCTGCAATTATCAGTAGCGCTGGAAAAGCATATAAGATGAATAAGCTTGCTATATATAATAGCAATCAAAAGATGCTATATAGATTCCTTACTTACTGCAGAGCATATTTTCTGCATTACAAGATTCAGTTTACTAAGAAATCTGAGAAAGTTATTCTTGCAAAAACTCATTTCGAAAAGAATGCTTTTATCTAATACAAGCCTTCTCTATATAATCACTTAAAGTATCAGAACAATCCCAATGCATATACTCAGATTATTAAGAATATATTTAATTCTTTTGAAAGCTTTGAGAAAGTTTTCAAGGAAATCTTTGATAATTCCAACGAAGAATGTACTATAGCTTAGCAGCTTATAAATCTCAAGCAGATCAAATCAGCTTCTGCTTATACAATTAGATTCAAGCAACTCTTAGTATAACTTCTATAGAAAGATAAGAATCTTATAGAGTATTATTATAAGGGATTTAAGAATAATATTAAAGATAAAATCTTTAAGCAGAATTAGCTGAAGAACTTTGCAATATTCTCTAATCAAGCTATTTGCATTAATAATTATTTATATAAATAATAGATAGAGAAATTTAAGAAGAAAGAAAGCTAAACTTGGAGATTTCTAGCTAATATAAGCAAGAAACTTCAAAATAAGAATAGCAGTTAATATAGCAATATAGCTTAGAATAGCACTATACATGCTGATTTCATAAAACTCAATACAGCTAATAAGCAATATAGCAAGAAGAATAATATTATTTGCTATAATTATAATAAACAAGAATATATAGCATACAATTACTATTAATTCTAGAAAAACAAATAGCAATTAGTTTAGAAAAAATACTAAGCAAATATTGCTTAGCAATAGAAACTCAATCAACTAAGCAAAAACATTCCCTTGGAGCAAGTATCAGACTCTATTAATTACAGAAATCTTAGCTGAACATTCTGCTATAATAATAACTGCTTAATATATCTTTCAAGTAAGGAAGATTCAGAATGATTCTTTTAGAAACCTAGGCGCTGCAAACAAATAGCAATAGCAGAACGAGAATGTATGCTCAGCATTCTTACAAGTAGCAACTTGAACTGCTCTAATATCATAAAATAGAGCATTCAAGCATTGGAAGAAAAGCTTAGCAATAATACTCTTTAATATTCTTTATTGCTTATACTAAGCATTATAATCAGAAATATGAATAAGAGATAATACTTTCTTAGCTATTAATATGAATATCTAAATAATATAGAGAATGCTTTTCAAGTAATAAAAGAATTAAGCTAGAGCAAATAACTTAGCAGCTTGCAGAAGCTTTCTGCAAATAATATATTTAACAAGCTTAAAGAAAGATTTCCCTTTAGCATTAGATAGAATAAGGAAATAATATGAATTGAATATTTTATCTACAGAATAAAGCTAGAAAAGCTTTTTATTTGCATTCTCTTATAAAATATTAAGGCATAAGAAGATAAGAATTCTTGAGTTAGTTCACTTTATAATCTATACTACAAACTAGCTTGAATTTCCTATACTTATCATAGCTATAGAATGCATTTCTCAGAGAAGATATAATACGAATAGTTCTTTATTAGAGAATCAAAACAAATTCTTTAAGCTATTAAAGAATAAAAATTCCATTTTAGAGAGATTCTTAACAAGCAATACTATAATATATATATCAGATTATTAAATAATTACTCTATGCAATATATAAACAAGAAAATAGAATAATAGCAATATAAAATAATGTTCTGTATAATTCATATTAATAATAAGATTTGTAATTAGTATTAATAGAAAAAAGATCAGAAATAATAATAATATGAGCAAAAGTAAGCTAAGAAGCTTGCTCAAGAAGCAGCGAAGCAAGCTCAGAAGAATAAGCAATTCTTAATAAATTTAAAAGAATAGGATTGCTTATAAAGAGATTGCAGATAATTAGATTAGAATAGTTCCTATATAAAGCTTTCAGAACAGATTATGCTTATATTAAGTTTAATATATACATTTAAGAATATAAGTATAGCGCACTATTGAATAGTAATACTTAGGGAAACTTTATATTTCTATATATTATCAATCAGATATAATTATAATAGAGATGGAAGAAATGCTTATATACTCTTAGTATTATAGAAGAATAATCTATTATATACAATTAAGGAATAATTAATAAGAAAATTAATTATTTATTTATCTAAATTCAAGAATATATAATCAGAGCTTCCTTTAATATTACGAATATAGCATAGCATAAGCTAATTATAAAGCTTCTATAGCTCAAAGAGCATAATTCTCGAATCAATTGAACTACTAGCTAGATCTTATGAGAATAAGCTGTATCCAGAGAGATAGTTGCAATTAATAATGCAGAATCGAAGCTAGTTATTGAAGAATATTCAGGAAAAGAAGCTTTAAACAACTTTATATATATCTCCAAGTTAGCAGAGCTAGCAGTTCAAGGAGAAGGATCTAGTAATAAGCGAATCTAAATAGTGCTAGAGCGCTAATAGATTAGCAAAACAACAGAAGCAAGATTCTTAGTAAGTTAGTTCATTCTAAAGCAATAAGGAAAAGCTTTAGAATGCGGATTATAAATCTATATGAGAAAAACTTCGAAATTAAGCTCTCAAGCGCTCAGTTCAGTCTGAAGCAGATGCTTAAGGCTTTTAAAAACAGCAAACGAAAAGAAGCATACTTAACAGTACTTATTATTTCTCCAAGTAGCAGAAACAGCATAAGAACTGAAATCAATACTTACAAATATACTATGAGAATACTACAAATTCAAGAAACTGTTCTAGAAAGAATTGAATATAGAATTATCAGAATACAGCTTGTATAATTACAAGATTCTACTATAAGAAGGAAAGCAGCTCAAATTCTTCCCTATTTATAAGCTAGATAAAGCATAACTAGAAATATTCAGAGAGTATCTTAATAAGAATCTCAAAAAGAGATATATATAATTATTGCAATTGCTAGCAGAATACCTTATTCTATTTGTATCTAAAAAGAATAGCAAGCTTAAGCTATATATTGATTATAAACAACTTAATAATATTATAATTAAGAATTGATATCTATTACTACTTATTAAGAAATTATGAAATAGATTGCAAGGAGTATAATGATTTACAATTCTGAATCTGAAAAAAGCTTATAATCTAATCAGAATAAAGAAAGAAGAAGAATGGAAAACTGCTTTCAGAATATGCTATGAATACTATGAATATTTGGTTATGCTCTTTAATCTAACAAATGCTCTAGCTTTATTCCAGAAAATAATTAATTATATTCTATATAAGCATCTAAATCAGTTCATTATTGCTTATCTCGATAATATTCTTATCTATTCTTGAATATTTGAAGAATATAAGGAATATATAGAAACAGTATTGCAAACGCTTCAAGATGCAAAACTCTTTATAAAATCTGCAAAGAGTTACTTTTATATACAAAAAATCGATTATCTCGGATTTATAATTAAGCTAGAATGCATTAAGCTATAAAAAGATAAGATAGAAGCTATTAGAAATTAGCTAGTTTCTAGAAATATTAAGAATATTAAATCTTTCCTCGGATATATTAACTTTTATAAGCAGTTTATTAAGAACTACAGCTGAATTGTACATTTTCTTACAAATCTTACTAAAAAGAAGCAATTCTTTAAATAAATCTTTAAAATATAAGAAGCTTTTAATAAGATCATTAAGTATATTATTTCAGAGCTAGTTTTATATAAAGCAAATCTCTACAAACTCTTTGAAATTAAAACTAATGCATTAGAATATATACTTAAAGAATAGCTTAATTAACAAAATAATTAAGAATATCTAAGAATTATAAGCAATTTTTCAAAGAAGTTAAATAGCTCAGAAATCAATTACAAAATCCCTAATCAGAAACTTATAGCAATAATAAAAGCTTTTGAGAAGTAGCAATATTATTTCATTAGTATATAATATTCAATTATAATTTACTCGGATTACAAGAATCTAATTATATTTATAATAACTAAGGTTTTGAATAAGCAATAAATCAGATAAGCAGAATTTCTCTTATAATTCGATTTCAAGATTGTATACTGCAAAAGCTTGAAGAACAGATAAGCAAATGCTCTTAGCAGAAAATTAGACTATCGAGATACAAACTCTTCAGATATACAAAACATCTTTGCTCAAAATGAATTAGAAAATCTTGTTAATGTATACAGAGAACTGAATACTGCTTTTAGAATAGGATTTCAAAAAAGGAATTCCGAATAAATAATTTCAAAAGAACAAAACGAATATATCAAGAATATATATAACGCTTTAGCATACGAATATCAGGGAATCAGAGCAATTTATG